TTTTATTTTTTATTTTTCACAAAATTCGAACTTGTTTGTTAGTTTGAATTGTGCATATTCATTTTTTGTGACCTATTCTGCACCAACTTGAACCAAGTCTCATGACTTTAATCTGGTGCTTTGAAGCTCTGGGATCCAAAAAAGCAGCCAAAAACAACGGTCCACCCCACTGTGTACCTGACATGCATGTGATTCAAACTGCTTTACATGCATGTAGCATAATCCATAATAAAGATGGCACTAGGGCACCGTCCAAGTCCCCAGAGAGACAGCCCATGAGGTTTCATGAACTCAAATTTCACTCCCAATCTCCATTCCTCCCAAGGATAGTGTATGATTAGCGCTGGATCCTGTTCCCGGGGTCTCAGGGTATACCCAAAGGGTACACCGCAGATATTGGGCTCTGTAATGGCCTGTCAGGCGCCCGAGCACCAATGGGTATCTCAGGGTACAGTCGCCGGGCTGGCGGGAATTCTGGGAATTTGGGGCAAGGGAAAGGGGGGGGGGAGAAGACCTTTGGTAGTTATTGAATGTTTGTATTACAACTATGGACAACTAGGACAAGAAACAAAGAAAAGTAATGAAAAACATGTCTTAATTGTCGTTGTCAGTGTCGTTGCCGTCATCTTGGTTGTCTTTGTTGTTGCTGGTGTTAACATTGTCAGAATTGATCACCGCTCAAAGTAGAGGTATCGATCATCTCCTTGAGCTTCTGGTACCATTCTTTGACACAAAGAAGGTGCTCAATCGAGGAGCTTTTGAGGCTGTGACGCTGTGATCCAATGATGGTCTCTGATCTTGAGAAGACTCATTCAAACTTGGCAAGTCCCAGGAGGGGGGACCCAAATAAGGCCGGGTATACCCGTGTAGAATACAGTACCACAGGAAAATTAAATACCTGTGTACCGTGTTGAGGGGCACAGGGTTGCAGGACTGAAGTCACAGACAGAAGTCTTGTGACAGTTTAGTGACACACAATAAAGATGATGGTTTGTATTAGGTGAGGAACCAGGCTAGGAACAGAGCGTGGGTTGAGCTAAATACACCGCCATAAGTACAACTATAGTGGAAGCATATTGCATATGTGACTATTCTAACATACCGTTCCCGATACCCGAAGGGAAGAGCTCACTGCTCAGGCACCATGTTTTGACTTCCCGGCTGAAGGGTATACCTGCGGGTCGGGGCGCTGGGCAGCCTGAGAGGTGCTGGGTACCCCACGGGATCCAGTGCTATACAGTAAGATGATTCAAGCAGATGGGTACTGTATTTCTATCACTAAGTGGTTAAAATTTATGAAATCACACAGTTCATTGCATAAAAAATGTTGCAATCTTGTCTTGTCTGTGTTTTTTCATCCCTACTCAAACACACAGTTCCACACCACATATTCCTTGGAAAACAACAGCCTCTTATGAGTTGTACCAGATGGCCAATTGATGAAGGGGACCTTTCCCTGCAGAACGGAATATCCTGTACCAGTTTCTTCAAGGAAGTGAAAACTTCTGGAAAAGATGACATTGGGAGACTCAACTAAGATCAATGCAAGCGTATTACAGTGCAGTACAATTGCACTAACAGCTGATGGGTTCCCTATTAATTTCTGGAAGCTTTGTCTTGAAGATATGTTCACAGGTTGCTTGTGAATTCATTAGACTTGAAACAAATGAACAATGGTAACTATAAGATAAGGGTAAAAAAATGTGCTCTAGAAGTGACTTGAGTATTCAATGGGGTAAAGTTTTTTGTGCTTTGATAGTCTTGTAACGATCAGATAAATTTGCATGAGACATACAGAAAATGTTATTAAAGAAAGTTTTGGCCAAGGAATGAATTCTGTCATGTCTTCCCTGCTCTATATTCAACAAAGTCGGCCGGTATTCTTCCATCCAAAACTCCAAGAAATTCCACAGCAAAGTATGATATGAATGTGCTTTGTGGAATGAGCTGTTCAAGCTGTCGGCAATCATCATAGCCTTTTCGATCGGTTTTTCTTTGACCACAAAATTTGCCAAGTTCAGGTATGACACTGTTGCTAATTCGAGCTCTTCCCTGTCGCCTAGTTTTGGCTGGTCATTCGGTCTTGGCACAATCGTTCGGATCATGTCTACATAGAATATGAATAAGGGAAAGTTTTCTTTTAAAACATGATGTTCAATTGCCCGGAGATGGTTCTTGAAATTGATGTTGTATTGAGATTGCCAATAGTCATACCACGTATTCACATCTGCCAGAAATTCCAATCTTCTGTTGTTAACTTTCTCCTCTCTATCTGGACAACGGTGGTTTCGAGACACCCGATTAGTCATGCTTTTCGGGCCGTTTTCCAGAATCGACGCGATATCGTTGGAAATGATCCTTCTTCTCGGGACCAGACCATTCTTCCTATTTTTAGCTTTGAATATTCTGGGTCCATGAAATTGGCCCATTACAGATTTGAGTTTGTCTTCCGAAAGGATCAGCTCTACCCCATTGACCTTCTTGAGGACTTCTAGAACTTGGTCTGCTTGCGCATCATCTGTTGCGGAGGGGCGTCGATCCTGTAGAATTTCTCTAGTAAACCTCAACTTGAGCGGATCAAGACTTTCAGAACTGTGAAGCTCATGGTGATCGTAATTGACCGGTTCTTGGTGAACATTCTTGGCGAAAGCCACCAAGTGTGGATCAACATATTTTGATTTGGAAATCGTCGCGCCCGTATCAGTTTGGGTCGTAGCTTCGTCTTGGTTTCTTGCGTTCCAGCTTTCAGGAAAACTGTTTGTCAACTGATGCTGAGTTGGTTGATGTGATTCCGTCACATGATTGTTCCCGGAATACAACTCCCAGAATTTGGATGGCTCGAGGGGCTTATTGGCTTTTTCGGTCCTGTGGCTCCCATAAGTTTCTAAATTGGGCAAAGGAGAGAGGGTTGGTAATGATGGAAAGACGTGAGAATGAGTACCGTCACTAGATATGGAATTCGCCGCGGTTGGAAATTGATGAATTCCGGTGAACTGGTCTGGCACATGATCAGCGGCATAGAATGAGGGTTGAAAGTCCGTCTGAAAATCTGAAAATGCTATGTTTGCCCAATCTTCTGGTTGAAAAAAGCTAAAAGGGTTGATTGGAGATGCTAGGTGGGCTTCGGGAGAGCGTAACGGGAGGTGTGTCACAGGATCCAGGTGATTCAGGCGTCTCATTTGTCTGTTGGGCATCCAAGGAAGGTCTTCGTGATCATCATCGTGAAGACCCAGAGCTCGATTTGGGCTCTCTATCCAGTTGAAAGTGTTGTCTGAGCGGAAACCGAAGGCATCCTCCAGTGTCAGACAGGCAGTGAAGAATGAGAAACAATAGACATAGTAAACCAGGCAGTACTTCATGTTGCTCGTTGAATTGATGCGGAACTCCACCGCTCGGAGAGGGGGGCTCAGTGCGTTGTGAGTGGGGGAAGGTGTTTGCTAATGAGAGTTACGAAGATGTGACAACAATTTCTTTTAGTGCCAAGGATGCAAATGTGTATTAAACCGATCCCCTGCGCCATCCCTAGTGTCGAGATGTCTCAAGGGCAGGAGGGATGGGTAGATAAAAGGAGCCGACCATTTTGGCGAAACTTAAGAAGAAGTTTAGAAAGCGGAAAGGTGCTCTTGGGTTTTTACTGTACATGTTATGTTGACCTTTTTTAATCTACAACTTGATGATGTCTCAACTCTTTGGTAACCCAAACTCGTCGCTCCGGGCTCCGAGCTGTATCAAGTGAGGATTGATTACCCGCAAACCATTAACCCACGTGAGCTTGCGACTGCCTGCTTGTAATGCTCGTCTGATCAAGGACTCATCCCCACGAGTAAATATTTATGATGCTGGGGACTAATCAATGTATATGAGCTCCGGCCGAGAAGTAGAGTATGTGAGGGCTGGCGCTAAACTATAGCTCAGAGGAGCATACAAAGCAGCTTTCGAATGACCACCGCGGACTTGGGGTCCATGGCGTAAAAAGGAGGCAGAATCTGCATTAGTACCCGGGTTGCAACCGCCAGTTATTCCGCAGATAATGGTACCAGTCAGCAAAGATTGCCAGAAAAATTGGATGCTGAGGAATCCCAACCGGCATTGAGAAACCGAAGAAGCTAGTGCTTCCGTGGCAAGTGATTCCGCCGTCCGTTGTACCGTCGCCGATTGTCCGGCCGTCGGTGCTGCCGTCGAATGTGCCGCCGTCGATTATCCAGCACGTCTGGAGATTTGGGGGTGATCGTGCAAGCAGTACAAATCAATCCATGAGATGTTTGGCTCAGATGACCGGATAAAAGCTCATCATACCGGCTAGAGAACGTCTGGTTTCAGAAAGAAGATGGATGAGAGGTCTTAATTCTACTGCTACACTACAACATCTCGGATATATCATATTGTATGAATGTATATATGTCGGAAATTTATTCAATCAAAAGAAAGAAGATAGAGAAACGAAAAAGAGGCTCAGAATAAAAAACACGGTTCTTTGAGAATATAAACAATAACCAGAAGAACCCGGTTATACAAGTAATCCTGAAGACAAGTATAAGGAAAAGTTCGTGATTTGCAATGCATTGTTAAGAAGACGGAAAAAAAAAGAGATCCGGGGAGGTTAACTTCTAACGGTGAGTAGGCATCGAAACGTCGGCGCGGTTTCCGACCGCATCAGCGGATCTCCAAAAAGCCGTGGTCGTTTTATTTTGAGTCCAAAACTCGACACCCCTAGTCAAATCCAAGAGAGAAGAAACACAAATTGTGATCAGTGACCCAACTCGATCAAGAAAAAAAGTGTGCAACAGAGAAAGAGAGGAAGTACGAACAATTTTCCATATAAGGAATGTCCACCCAAGACGCTCCCCTTATTGCCACTCCAAGCAAACATGGGAAGAGGCACGGGCACAGGTACGTTGATGCCGATCTGTCCGGCTTCGACTTCTTTTTCAAACCGTCTTGCCGCCGCCCCGTCCCTCGTGAATATTGCAGTCCCATTCCCATCTGTCCACATTTTTCAATATTTTTTCAACATGATCAAACAAATCGACAAAATGATCAGTTCAACTGTGAGTGATGTATGTATGTGAATCAGAACATTCAAAAAAAAAAAGCGAACATTTATTTCGATTGATCAATTCGATCGCTTCATCAAGATTCGAAACATTCACCACCGTCAGAACGGGCCCGAAGATTTCTTCCCTGTGTGATTTTGATTGTGCCGAGAAACAAATCAGCATGAAAACAAGTGACTATTCGTGATTTGACAAAAAAATGCGTGAGTGAATTGGCTGACTCATAACAGCTCATTCCAGGGGAGGCTTGAAGGATAGTAGGCCCGACCCAATTGCCATTCGGGTACCCTTTGACATCGACTTGACGACCATCTAGTAAGACTTGTGCGCCCTCCTTCTCGGACGCATCTATGATCGAGATGATTCTTTGTTTCGATTGAGGGCTGATCACTGGTCCACTGTATCGCCATAACAGTTAATATATTTTTTTTTGTGATAGAGATGATTAGAATGTTTTATTTCAGAGGAAAGCCCACACTTCAGTCTGTTCTTGAAACCCTTCGCCGATCTTCAACTGACGCGCTCGCTCGACTAATTCAATCACCCAATCAGACGATTGGCCGACCGTGATCATCACGGACAAGGCCATACATCTTTGGCCAGCAGCTAAAAAATATTTATGCGCATTAGTGGGAATCGAAAGAAAAAGGTTTTGGATGAGCATGATTGAAATCGAGCAGAAACCGACCTCCAAACGCAGCCCCCGCAATCGAATTGAGAGTCAAGTTCTTCGAGGCATCCGGCATAACCACGCAATGATCTGCACATTGAAAGCGCATGTAAAAAAATGAGCGTCACAAAGAGATCTATGAATCCAAAAAACAAGCAAGTTCGAACTAACTCTTTGCGCCCAAGTTAGCTTGGACCCTTTTGCCATTAGCGCCGGCTCTGGAATAGATGTGTTTTCCAGCATGATCCGAGCCGACAAAAGAGATTGCCTTGATCTGGGGATGGTCGCATAAATAATTTACCGTGTCCACTCCTCCATGTGCGATACTGAGTACACCTGAAGGTAAACCTACACTCAAACATTATGAAATTAATCTGAGCCAGAGATAGATTGCGAGAGGGGAAAAGGACGAGAATTCGTACCTGCCATTTCGGCTAGCTCTGCAATCATCATACTTGCGCCCGGGTCTCTTTCTGATGGCTTGAGAATCAGTGAATTGCCACAAGCAACTGTAGTACAGAGGATATGAAATCCCAAAATCTTCGTTAGAATGCTTCAGATTTTTTTTTTTTTTTTTTTTTTTTCGAAGCAATCTGAAGAGAACATACTTGATAGAATATTCCAAAGAGGAATCATTGCGGGGAAGTTGAATCTGATGGATCATCAAATAGAAATCAGCGGGTTGTATCAATTTTCAATAACAAAACAAATTTCTTTGCAAACTTACGGACAAATTGCGGCAGTGACACCAAGAGGAGCCTTCCTAGTCTCGGTATCCATGTCCTTACTCACCTCGAGTTTCTCGCCCATCAAGAGTTGGGGCAATGAGCAGGCAGCTTCGACGACCTGTAGGCCTCGATGGACATCACCTTTGGCATCAGAGAATGTTTTCCCCTGTTCTAATACAATTGATCTTGCCAAGTCGTCGTGATTCTCTTTGATCAGGGCTTGTAATCTTTCACAAAAATAATAAGGCGGGTAAATGTAGTCAGTGATCTTTCCCTTTTTACTTGGTTTGATTATGTATATTTACTTGATCATGATCTGTTGGCGACTGAGGACCGAGGTATCCTTCCAAGTATGATAAGCATCTTGAGCGCGAGAGACGATTTGATCGAGTTCTTGGGTGGTTGGTTTGGGCACTTTGGTCAAGATCTCTTGAGTGGCCTATCATAAATTATCAACCAAAGCAACCATCAGTAAAATATTTTTCGATCTGAAGAGAAATATTGAAATACTGACAGGGTTATGAACATCAAGCCATGAGTTAGTTTGACTGTCGATGAACTGGCCACCGGTGTACAGCTTAGTGCTTTCTCCATTAGTCTTGGTTCCTTTCCATGATCGATTGAATGTGCTAGTTTGTTGTTGGATTTGGACGGTCGTCGAGAGTGCTCGGGAGTGCTGATGATGATATCTTGAGTAAGTGCTCCTGATCCTCGTGCTGATAGTCAGCATGATTGGAGAAATTGAAGAAGCTGTTGATATCAGGAAGTTGGTTTTGGCTAAAGTAGGACTGTAGTCTGGAGGATATGTGTATATCAGCCCCCCCCCGGGTGAGCCACGGGGGAGTCCTAGTACTAAAATCTTTCAAGAAAACATCAACCCACCACCAACCACCAACAATGGCCACCACATCCAAACTACCTAGCTTGATCAGACTGGCAACCACCAAGCAACGAAACCTACTCACTCGATCAATCACCACCAACAACCAGCATGTCCCAACAAAACAGCCAACTCCATCCGATCATTTCTTCGTTCCTCAATCCTCCTCCTCCTCCTCATCATCATCATCCAATCAGACAAACTCACAGCAAGCAGCAGTCGATACCATACCAGACCTCATCCTACGCGATCCCCTGATTAGCTCTCGTGGATCCAAACAAGCTCAGAAGCAAGAGAAGGTCGGAAGACCAATCTATCTAGACATGCAGGTACTTCTCATACTCAAATTGGCTACATCTATCAATCATCACGAGTTGATAACCTCATTCCAAACCCACACACACACAGGCAACCACACCACTCGATCCACGCGTCTTGGACGCCATGATGCCGTACATGACCAACCAATACGGGAACCCTCATTCGAAGACACACGCCTACGGCTGGGAGACGGAGAAGGCAGTCGAGACTGCCCGGGCGCATGTGGCCGATCTCATTGGTGCTAGCACAAAGGATATCATCTTCACCTCCGGGGCGACTGAAACAAATAATATGGCGATCAAGGGCGTCAGCAGGTTCTATAAGGTTCTTCTTACACTTGCTCGCGTCCTCTCTCCATTTCTCAAAAATCTGACTGTGCGCACCATTCCCAGGAACGCAAACGGCATATCATCACTACCCAGACCGAACACAAATGCGTCCTCGATTCTTGCAGGGTTCTTCAAGACGAAGGCTTTGATGTAACCTACCTACCCGTCAAAAGTAAGTCCAGAGAAAAAAAAAGTAGCATGGGCATGATAAGACACCCTTTGACGTCGACTTTTATTCATGAATTAAATTGCACTCTAGGTAATGGTCTAATTGACTTACAGCAACTAGAAGATTCGATCCGTCCGGACACCGTCCTAGTCTCGATCATGGCGGTGAACAACGAGATCGGGATCATCCAGCCGATGCGCGAGATCGGGGCGATTGTCCGGCGACACCGGGGGGTATTCTTGCACACAGATGCCGCCCAAGCGGTCGGAAAGATCCCGATGGATGTGGAAGAGATGCAGATCGATCTGTTGAGCATGAGCTCCCACAAGATCTACGGGCCCAAAGGGATTGGCGCCGCCTATGTCCGAAGACGTCCCAGGGTCAGACTCGAGCCTCTCATCAGTGGCGGCGGTCAGGAGAGAGGCCTTCGTTCGGGTACCGTGCCTGCGCCGCTCGTCGTCGGCTTTGGCGAGGCTTGTAGACTGGCCAAGTTGGAACTCCAAGTCAGCATCTCAATCTAGTTTCCCTAGGATGAATCACTATTAGACACTCAAACAAACGAGCTTTTTTTTTCTTTCTTATAGAACGATTGTGAACATGTCTCAAGGCTATCACGAAGGCTACACGACAAGATCACCCAAAGCTGCACCCACATTGTCCGGAATGGAGATGGGAGGTTAGGCTATCCGGGCTGTCTGAACCTATCCTTCGAATACATCGAGGGAGAGTCGTTATTGATGGCCTTGAAGGATGTCGCCCTGAGTTCGGGAAGTGCCTGCACATCGGCCTCGTTGGAGCCCAGCTATGTGCTCAGAGCACTCGGAGCGAGCGACGAGAACGCTCATAGCTCGTTGCGCTTCGGCATCGGTCGGTTCACCACCGAACAGGAGGTCGACTATGTGGCTCATAAAATCCTCAATGTCGTCTCTCGTCAGTCTCTATCTCTCTATCTCTCTTCTCTCTCTCTTTTCTTTCTTGCTTCCTCAATTTGACCGTTTTTTTCTGGTACGTAGGTCTGCGTGAATTGAGTCCGCTTTGGGAAATGGTCCAAGAGGGCATCGACTTAAAATCTATCAATTGGTCTCAGCATTGATCTATCTTGTCCATTCACCAAAAACAAACTTGCATTGTAATAACTGATTTTTTTGCGCTCGTCACCCAGATTTGACTCATACCCCTTAATTTCTAAACTCACTTATTATCACCCATTACAAACTTGATTAATGTCACTTCTGTTTTTCTATGTGTCTAATTCTTTATCTGATCTTTGGCTGAATGTGTTTAATTTTTTCTCTGGGTTAAAATCTATATATATAGGGAGGAATCGTTTTACCATTTCTGTTTTTATTTTATTTTTTCTTTTGGCATTGTTCTCTCTCTGTCCATTAACATACATACAATGTGCATCCACCCAATTGTTTACTATTTGAGGCTTTTTGTTTGGAAATTCATTTTATCATTTGTGGGTGAACTTGTATGGTAGAAGCTGATCTCAAGGATAAGGTTTATGTTCTTGTGATTGACTAGTGATGGTCTTGCTTGCAATCTCCAAAAGAACAAATTTTGATATGATTGAAATGATAAGGAGATCAGCTATGTACGCCAAAGAAGGGGTTCCAGACAACAAAGAGGTTTGGCCAGGATGTTCAAAGCAGCTGGTCTGTATGAGAACAAGACTCTCACATAGAAATTATAGAAACCCAAAGGACTTATACCACTGGACCTGGTTGATACATGCTTTGAATTGATTTCAAAGAAAAGAGCATTCCCTCAAAACTGACAAAAAAATATTGATTCATTGAAAACAAATGATGTATCAATGGCTCAATGGTTGAGTAAGAGAGAGTAAAAGATTGATGCATAATGTTACATCTGGAAATCCACTGAAGAGCAAATACAATGAACAACTAGATCACCCCTGGAATAAAGCTGTTTTTTGAAAAAAAATCATAGCAAAGGGAAGCAGTCAAAAAAAAAATGTGTATAATGTGCAACTTTGGTTGAGCAAAAAAGAAAGGGGGTTCAACTTACCTGTAAGGGACAAGTCTACAATACTCCTCCCATGATTTTCCATACTTCCTAGAACACCTTTCAAAATTCCTTGTGCATCGATGTAGAATCATCACCAGAAAGAAAGCTGATAAAATTCAATTGGGAAATTAGGAGCCATTAATATGACATCAACCACATGAATCAGTATGAAGTAAATTCTCCCCTCTTGATCGATTTCTATACCTGCTCAATGGGAGAATTCAAAGTGAAACTGGATTATTACCTGGATAAAAGTACGGAATCAAACTTCCAGTTCCAGAGCAGGCTGCCCAACAAAGTGCTTGAATGAAATCTGCAGTGTAATTCTTTTGTTTTGATTGAAAAAAAAAGAGTTGAGTTGAGTCTGAGAACATAATTCCAGGGGGGTGATTGAAGGATGGATGAACTTACAGGATGACGGCATACGGCCCACCAGCCATCAATGAGCAGTTTGCGATCACTGTTTCCAACTACCAGAACCTTTGGGTTCTTTAATGTGCCATAAGAAAATTGAGGGAAACCATAGATTCTGCTTGTGATCTGAGATTTTGAATCATTCTCCATTTTGAATCTGGCCTTCTGGCTATTTGAAGTATCAAATACGTAGTAAGCCAAGGTGTAAGTCAAGTACAATGCGACGTAGGACCAAGTTGAAAAGTTATATTTCGAGGGAGGCTGGTTCGTAATGTAGATTACCGAATGACAGCTTGTAAAAGGATAAAAGAAGAATTGGAGGTTTAAGAATGATCATGGTCTTTTTCAGATAAACAGGCTAGAGATGTGCGATGATTTGTCACTCACTATGTAAAGGCAACACCTGCAAAGTTCCAGAAACTTAACAACCAACCCCACTTTTCATAGGCCATATCCCAGGTCAATGGGATGCACTCCTCGCCCTTAGCACAGGCATTAATATAACTGAGCAAAAAAATGATGGGTTGAGTGCAAGGTATAAAAGACAGACTGATTCAGCGCTCGGATTGATTACTCACAGACCAGTTCCATATACCATGAAGAGAGAATTCGGTGTCACATAACCAATTGTTTCATACTGCTTGACACTACCTGCAACCGCGATGATGAATAACAGTACCCATGGAATCCGCACCTCCGCAAATAGTTTGACATCGATGTGTCCAATCCTTGGACTCAGGGCAGCCCCCATAAACTGTGGATTAGAATGTCATAGACATGTGAGTATTTTGAGCAAACAGGTAAGAAGAATGAGACAGGACTGCTGCACGGAATAAAAAACTTACAAAATCATAAATATGATTACCACTCATCCTGACAGCTTGTCCTTGAAGAATAGGTAGGACGTAATAGAACAGAGAAATCGAAAAGCCAAAGACAGTGGCGATCGTCATCAAGTGGCCCAGCTGATCGAACACATCACCCAATCTAACGACTCCTAGAACGGAATGTAGGACGAAGACGGTCGCAAGTGTAGCATACCAAGAGCATAGCGCATTGCCTAAATGAATTTGGGACACTGTTACTTTTGAGTGCAACTCTCGAGGCTAGGTAGATTATGAAAGGAAAAAAGAAAGAGAGAGAGACTTGCAGTAGTAGGTCAATTTGCCGCCGTTCAAAGATGGAATGGGTAAGCCTTCTTGAGAAACGCCGGGCATATACCAAGCCAAAGCCACTTGGTGGGCCAACAAGCCCATGTAAAGATACGTCGCGCTCCATGTGGGACGGGTGTGCTGAATACCAGTACAAACAGGGACTTGATCAATTACCCTCCCCAGATTGGTTGAAAATACTAAAAAAAAATCCGATGAAAGAGAAGAAGATGATCTTACCAGTTTGATTAATTTCCAAAATTCACTTGACCATCGGATGATCTCAGTGGGATGAAGAGAATCAGGCCTTGAAAGTTGGCCATCGTAGCACCATAAACCTTAACATAACACGCACACCGATCATCAGTTTGTTAAAGGGTTTGAGGTACATAAATTTTTGAATAGTTTACTCAAAAAAATGCGTTATGTCGCTCAGTTATCGAGCGATAAGCTTACAGATGAAAAAGTAATACATTAGACAGGGGAACAGGATCATGAGACCCAATGAACCCCATGGCCCACCGAATTCATAGTGGGTGTGCGGATCTGCCTGTGGATCATCAACCCAAAGAACAAAATAAATCACGCCTTATCATCACCCAGATGGAAAAAATGAAGCGAACTGACGTCGGGATTGAATTTCCCCTGAATGAGATCTTTACTATTGTTAGCTTGATAGGCTCCAGACTTCTCCGAGTACTGTTGGTCATCCGACTTCTCATCCTGCCCGGATGGATTCGGTCTCTCAGTACCCACCGCCGAGTCGATGACTTGCTTCATATTGGGTATCTCTCGAAGCAGCTTCCTATTATGTATGTACGCAGTTGACCCTCTTGACGGCTGAGGACACACAGCTCTTGGATGATAACGGTGTTGGTTTGATTGAGTTGACCGTTTGGAGTTGATCGGGATGGGATGAGCCGGGTGCAAGGGCAGGGCAGGACTCAAGCTCGACAGGCTTTATGAACCAATGACGGTCAACAGATGCTCAAGAGGGACCGAAGGCTCTCGGTGGCTGAGTGGCGAAGATGGTGATGATGATGAAAATCGGAGTGACGCATTAAGGAATAAAATCAAGCTTATCGCGGTGGCTCCTCACCGACTGGCTTATGTAGCTCAACCTCCTCGACTGACAGAGCAAGCACTCAGATCCGGAGGACACTGATTTTCACCTTGCGGGTGTATGTGGCCAGCAGCGAGTGGTGAGTTGCTTGCAGTGTCGAGAGCTTCCCAAAGCGGAAGAAGCGGAGAGAGCAAGCTCGACGATTTCCGATCATTGCCTTTCGACCCTCCTCACCTGCATTGAAGCACACTGATCATGGCCAATCGGATTGCCCAGCCAGCGTAAGCAACTCAAACTCGCACTCATCCCATCAACCCCAACGCCAACGGCAACGGGAGTAAGCCATAGGATTAGGAAATCACGTGCAACGGCCGGGGACAGACTGCAACTCTCCAGCTTGCAAGGAGGAGCCAAGAACACGTCATGCATACATCCACTGCTATGCTCACTCAACAAGATTATAAGCAGCGCACATCTATCAGAAGAGGCCCCCGCGAATTAAGTAGATGGACATCCCGAAGATCTAAAGTCTCATGGGCACCGAACATAGAAACTATAGTATGGATGGACATTGCAGAAGCTTGAGGAGGACTTGGTGGGTCTGTTACTCAGGGGCCCTTCTTATAATCTTCGGGGTTTTCTAAAACTTAGCATTATTTAAATCGATCGATTCATGGATCCCTTCCGACAGCTTGAGCATCCACACACCCCAAGATTTCCGGGCTGGGAAGCCTGCCAATCCGTGGGCAGATGATCCATCTCCCGGCTGACTGGCCGACGAATCGAAGACTGTGCAGCCTACAGCCTGGTATGATATTCATGAATCAACAGGGAGAGAGAGAGAGAGGCAGCGACAGGAGTACATAAATAAACGGATGGTGCATCAAAAACAGATGATAACGATCCCATCTGCTTTGTGTTGATATTTTTTAAAAAAAAACCATTTCGGCGAATGATTATCATTTGGACTCCTCAACATATTTAAGTCCCGAAAACGATCAGCCTCTGATAATCTAATCAGGAGCTTGCCCAGAATTGATTGAGTGCCAAGCTGCTTCGTGAGACTGAGATGGCCCGCTAGGACCAGCCTCTCGCGAGAGTTTGTTATTAGCTGATTACCATCATCTATGACCTAGGTCGTGCTACTCGAATAGGCTTCAAGCTATCCATACACAGTCTCGCAGACAGAGGAGTCAGTTGTGCAGTAGCAAGCTGAGACCAACACCTTGAGCCTTGTCCTCGCTCAATGACACCACCCCCTCCATCGGCGCAGCGCCCCTCGTCCGGCTCGCTTCGCGGGGGTGCCCCCAGCCCTCTGTGAAACGGGGGGGGGGGGGGGGGGATTGCATGTTAAGCTAGGGGCCGCACGCACATGGTGGGATTGGCTGGCCACTGTGCGATGCCACACTCGCGCGTTGGTTCTCGATTATTTATGAACTTCTCCGATATGAATCTTTGGCGCGAAGTGAATATTTCGTGTTGTGTTTCAAAGGTTATAAATAGCAAGCTGGAACTACATAAATATCTACTCTATGATTGAACATGTGCCAGGAGGATGTGTTTGGTGCTGGCAAATGAGCGTGCCGGCCCCGTATGTACTCCTTGAGTTGCTATCTATTTATGTACCAGTGGGAATCTCGGATCGCCGTCGCGGTACATAGGCGTCTGGACTCCAAACGCTGCATCTCATGTATTCCGATTTGGCCCTTTGTTCTGCGATAGGTGCTGTAGTCTGTCGGGCGGCCTTCTTTTCGGTCGAAGCCAAGCACGGCGATTGACGACGAGCGATTGATTGATTTAGTTCCTGAACAAGCATGCGCTCGGTGAAAGATCGCACTCTCCTCCTCTGGTCGGCTTTCTTGGTGATTACAAGCAGTCGCGCCTTTGACGACTGCTCATTCGATGAACTTGACAGTCTTTCCTTTCTTTGGAACCCTGAGCCCATCATGACGTTGGATGATATCATGTATCCAAAGAGCCCTTCACATGAGCTTTTGGCTCAACAACCAGATAGACGCCACACTTCCTCATCCAACTCGGGCAGACCGGACCTCTTAGATGGAGAAGACAGTTTCATCAACAGGGAAGATATCTCGAATCCACGCCAAATCCACATTATAGCACCTAGTGCCCAAAGAATTCCCACCTTCCCATCACATTTAGCCCAAGTAAATAATCCTGTCGGGACCTTGGCCCAAGTTCCTCAAAAAAAACAAGTGATCAACAATCCACATGAGCTCAGGAACGTTGCCCAATCAGCACAACAGGATGCGCCAAAGCGATCCACAGGAATACTCGCAAAACTACCCCCCAGGAAGAAATTAGAATCCAGAAAACGGGCCGGTCGTTCTGGATTCGGGTCACCATCACCTACTGCTATTCGGGCCCTGGTTGAAGCCTACCATCCTCATCGACAGAACTCTCATCATCAACCAAATCAACAAACACAACCCGGGATCTCAACCTTTCATCCCAATTCCTACGATTCCCATGGTCAAGAAGATCACCAGTCCCAATCCGCCCCAGTGGGCGACACTTGGGCTAATAAAAACCAAATGGACGTCGTGCCCCAGCCCCGAACTGTTATTACAAACTCCAGACTTATTGACGATGTCCCAGGAGATTCACAGAGCTTTTTGTTGCCTGCTGGGCCATCCCAAACAAGTGAGTCGAGAATGCGGTTACTAAATAATTTGACCATCAATCTACATATCTGACAGCAGTTTTGAAAAAAGTGGAACCGCCAAGATTGATATTCACAAAAGAAACATTCATGGAGGAGAATCCATCGGAAGTGCACCAGATGAACGTAGACAGATTCGAGCAGATTCTTTCGACCCTCGAGAGTGGACAACTTCGAGCAGAAGAAGAGAAGTTCTTCGACTTATATTATGGGTTTTCTCAGACCACCTCGAAAAAGGAAAAGGCATGGAGCGCTAGTCAAAGAACCGGATTCTTGAGACAAATGAGAAACGAATTTCGGAACCAGGTCGGGATCTGGTTCAACCGTTGGAGACAACATACCACGATCGACGTTGAGAAATACATCGATTCAATGACCAAATATGAATGCCAAAAAATCGTTCCCGTGTATCTGTTCTATGTGGAAATGATCAGGAGCATCGTCCCAAGACCAGGAGTTGAACGCGAGTATAGCAAAGAATTGGGCGATGCGCTTCGATCGTTTTCCAGGTTAATCCAACTAGTCATCCACCGCGACAAACTCAACCAGACCAACCTCGATCGGATCACGATCAACAAGGCCATAACACTTTCAAAGCAATTGCAAGCTAGTGGCGGGGACTCTTTTAATGCCATCCTCTGGACGTTCTTGGAATTCTGGATGCTCAATCATCGCCGTTCTTTGCTCCGTGATCATTCCACCAACTTCGTCCTCGATATCAATCCCAAAAGCTTCTTCAATTCCGTCTTCTGTTGCTCATTCAGAAATCTGAATAAGCTTCTTGCAGGAAAATAAGACCAGTACTCTAGCATAATTTCTCCTCCTTCATGAGTTCCCAAAATCCTGTCATTGTAAATAAGGATTATCAGGCTCTAGATTCAACCATGGCGCCTTTGTCCTATGTTTTGATTTTATTTATTCTCTTAAGGTTCTGGCTTTTTGTGGCGCCCTTTTTTTTTTCTCTTTACAGGCATAATGGGACAAGTTGAATTTCCACCATCTGACCTTCGGAGAAGGAGAATGTCCACAAATTTACAAAGGGTACCCAGCAATATTCTCCGGTTTGTTTACTCTCAATGTGAGTGATATCAACAAAGAATCATGAAGGAAGGAGAGGAAGTCTTCAAGCAAAGATCTTATGAATGTCGATCTGTAGACACGGGAAGGTCGCACCTTTTCTGAAAGAGTTGACTCATCCAAAATGAAATGTCCATTACACAGAGGCTGAAAAAGCCATGCGATCATTTGGCTTGGCTCGAGTAACCTGGCCCCCAATCTCTGGCCAGGATGGATTTACCCTCAAGCAGGGCAACAACCGAGATTGCTGGCTCAATGGCCTTTGCATGGCCTGGTTCATGTAGCTGCTTCTTTGGTTACAAATAAGATTTATCCAACAAGAAATTTTGGGGCAGCCCCACATCCAATTTAAGCACCAAGAAGCCTTGTTTTGACACCCATGTCATGAAACAAAGCCCTACGTAAACCAGGCTAATATAGGAGTATTAAACATGGATATTTGTGAATTCATAAACATGATATCATGAACTGGGAAACTATTCAAAAGGCAACAACAGTCACAAGTGATCACCCAAAAGCTCTACAAATTGCTGGTTCCATCAAAGTTAATTAAGACCAATTTTCAATGCCCTTAATCAAAGATTGTCTTTTAATTTTTTTTATCTTTGCTTTTGATAAGCAGAGATGAAATATATACATCTGGAGACTTGAGGTTAACTACGTACATGTATAGGAAGCAAAAAAACGGGGGTTTGAGTAGGGAAAAAAGAGCAAATCAACACTAACACACACACACACATGTAAGAATGTAAGACCATACAAAAAACGACATACAAGAAAGTGACTCAAAGAAAAAGATGATATGCAGTCAATAAGAAACAAGTTTTGTATAACATAGACATATATATATATGTATATCTATTTATGAAAACAGGTAGAGATGGAGAGTAAGAAAAAGAGAAAAAGAAATTGATTTATTTTTTTTCTCTGAAGAAAACTATAACAACAAAAAAACCCGAGAAGACATCAAATAGATTGATTATTTTTTTTTGAGAACAAAGGTTCTAGTGGCCCCTAAAAAGATCTTAATAATAACAGAAATGAAAAGGAGATAAAAGAAGAAGAAAAAGAAGAAGAAAGAGGAGTGGGCGGAGATCATAAACCCCAGGCAGCATCGACTGGAGAAAGTGGATCGACAATATCATCGGAGGGATTAGAATTATTAGGAGCATTGGTTTTTTGGCCGTCAACATCTTCACCATTGTGCTGATTATTATTATTGTTGCCGCTGCTATCCTCGTTGATGTTCTTGGAGACGAGCAAGTAGGTCTGGCTGGCGGGGTTAGAGTTAGCGAGACAGGAGGGAAGGGCAACAGGAAGGGAGTCATCAGGCTGGGGAAGTTCGACAAGACTTTGGAGTTGAGGAGCTACTAAAAGCTCTTGAACGTCGGCTAAGGAAGGTAGTGCAGGTTGAGGCTGTTCTGCTAGGCCATCGGCAGGCTTCTTGTCCTGATGACCTTCTTTTGATTCCACTTCCCCAGCCAAACCGGTCTCCTCTTGCTCTCCCCCAGCCTCCTCAAGTGAGGATTTCGAATCGGGCTGTGATTTCCCTTTCCGCCCAAGAGTATCCCCCTCTTCGCCAGCAGACCTACTTCTCTGCCCCTCATCCCCCTCTCTTGTACCCGGCTCAGCAGCCGCAGAATCCCGATTGTCAGCAAGGACGACTCCTAAGGAAGAGGATCCGTTTAGGACGACGGGTCGAGGAATAGCCAGTTCGGAGTTCTGGCCGAGCTGCAGCTGGGTGGTGAGCGATTCCGAGCCGATCCCAAACCGGTGACTTGAGTCCTTTATCCCTGGGATCATCATCATCGGCGCCGGCTTATAACTCGCCCGTTCGGACAGAATCCCAGGCCCTGTTTTAGTCATTGTCGTTGTCATTGCTGTGGTTGTTGGTGGGGGTGGGTTTGGAGAGATAGAGTCAATGTTTATCGGACTCGAAAGTTGTCGACACGCGATCGTCTACGAGAGGAACTAATAATTTGGACTCAGAAATGATCTACACACAAGAAAGAAAAGAAAAGCATTAGTCATCTGGGGTCTACGGCAAGAAGGAGCAAGAAAAACGTGAGGTTTTTGACGTACTAGATCGGCCGTCGTGTTGGGCAGAGGGGAGACTTAATCCAGTTGTAGATTGAGGCGCCGCAGGAATGAACTGTCCCTTAGAAGAGAAGATTCGATTGCGTTTGCCGACCGAGGCGAGGGCTTCGTCGGCGGTAGGGTTGGTAGTGTTGGAAGCGGGAGAGGCAAGAAGTTTCGAGTTGCTGGGTTTGGGCCGGAGTTGGGCAGTGGGATGATCTAAGACGGGGGAGGTTGACCGGGACGGATGTGAGTTCGATTGCGGAGAGGAGAGATCTACGCTTTTGGCCTTGCCCATGCCAACCCGAGCCCGATGAGCGCGATACGATTTCGCTTTCTGGGCCTCGTCGCCGTCGACCAGGTCTGGGTCACTTGAGGAGGCGTGGACTGTACTTGACTCGTCGGTCGCATGGAGGGAGACCGGGAAATCCATGTCTACAGGCTCAGTCAACGAGTTCAGCCTGTTGTTGTTTGAATGAGCCTCTATTGAAGGAGACTTATCCTTACTAGGGTTCTGGATCTGGTCGATCGAGATCGGGTTGAATCCGCTGTTGTACGGGTGACTGTGACTGGCTTGAGGCGATTTGCGCTTCGAGGCCCAGGCTGCACCCCACTTGATTACCACATCACGCGCCTGTGTCACACTGGCCGCAAGCGCTTCCTTATCCGTTGCTCGTGTGCGCAGTTGGTTGAGAATCGAGTTTGTAGATGTTGATTGGTTGGTCACTGCCTGGGGAGTAGTAGGGTTTGATGACCGTGGATTGGATATGTTTCGTGTTGGTGGTGGCAAGAAAGTGCTTGGGAGTGTTTGACGAGGAGGTGGCGGAAGGCGGCGAAGGGGCGCAGGATTTTCTTCAGAAGAATGAGTGGAAGCAGCTCGAGCTAATGGAGAACCAACTGCGTTTTCTAGCTCAGTTAGATCATCAGCTGGTTTTGGAGATGAACTCTGAATAGGTTGGGTCGGGGTCTGCTGAAGCTCTTCAGACAGATTTGCCGAAGGATTGTTTGGATGAGATGATGTGCTGTCAATTTCTGCCGGCTCGGATACACGAGGCAGCTGAGTGGCTGCTATTGTTTTACCATCCAGATTAGGAGTTGAAGGATGGGAGCTGGTGCTTTCAGGGTGCGAGCGGAGGAATTTCTGGAGCTTAGCCACAGCATCACCATCTTCTAAATCGGAAGACGGTTGCTGGACTGGACGAGTTTTGTTATGATTGCGAGATGATGAAGCCTGGCTAGATTGAGTTGATATGGTATCCTGACGGCGGGTAGCTGAGAACCAGCTACTGCGCTTATTTTCTGGTTGATTGAGCGAGAGGGTGGGGGAGCTATCAATCGATCCATCAGCTGTCGGCAGCACTGCTTCAGGCGACTCTTCGGATCCATCAGGGTTTTTGTTGACAGCTCTTTGCCTCATCGTCTCCTTTGAGAGATTATTGTCTTCACGAGCAGTGTTTAGTGAGGCTTTCGTGGTCTGTCGAGCAGGCTGCTGATGTGGCTCTGAGTATGACTTTTTATGACTCGAGGGCGATTCAGTCTTTAACTTTGCATCTTCTGCACTAGCGGATCCATCTGAGCTGTCTTGGTCGTCTTGAGGATCATTTGTCGATTTTTCTTTCCTGGCCGCATCACCCCAAATCCCGCCGTGATGAGCGTATGGCTGAGTATCAAAAAACACGAGATCGTCCAAATTGGGATAAACAATAGACTCCATGACCTGATGATTGGATAGAAAAAAAAAATGATAAGTTGGGTGCCAGATTGTCAAGGTGAGGATGTGATGAGAGGGATCTACTGACCACTTCACGGATACGAGATTCGATGGGCTTCAAAACCAACGCCCATTTGATCTGTCGAGTGGAGACGACCGGTTCAAGGTCGAGTACGAGATGAGGCATGGCTGTAAAGCCAAACCAGAGTCGGTTGGTTGGAGGTCTCTTAATCTTGAGGAGTAAGGTACCACTGAGCTCTTTGAGGACGACTGCGAGGACCAGGTTCACGACGTAAGGTTTGAAGCGGGCGCCTAAATTGATAGTTGCCACCGTCTCAATAGTGATCCGGAATTCACCTTTATAACTGACCAGGACTTCCATGCTCGCATCTCCATCGATAGTAAGTTCCTTGAGCATTGGTTTACTGAAGAATGGGGTAGTTGAGCCGACATTGACCTCACGAACTTTGATACCCGAGAGAAAGGTAGGTGTTTGAACTTTGGCGAGTTTTTTCATGATCCGATCGATAATCCAATTCTCCAAGGCGTGAGTTCGATAGCTGGATAGGAAGAGTCTGCCGAGCATTGCGTTCATCCATCGCATTGGGATCGGATCGGGTTGTTGATCAATTCCTTCAAGCAATTTGGCCATATCTTCGGAGTCGAATAGGGATGCATCCTTTTGGAAGGTAGCTTTTGAATCTGGGCCGTTTAGTTTTGAGGAGGCGAGTAAGATGTGATACCAATCCTCCTTTTCGAGGTTATTCTTTGTGAACAAAAACCAGGCAGCCGGTCTGCCTGGTTGATGATGGTTTGATTCTCGGTCTGGTTGTTCGAATCTTTCTGAGTCTTGATTATTAGATTCTTTATTAGTGTGATGATGATGATGATTTTGAATGATCGGTTGGAGGCAGATTGCTTTCCGCTTGACGAATAATTCCCCATCCGGACATCCAGTAGGATAGAGGTCAACGTGATAGAGTGAGACTTGGATGGCAGCTGTACAGTCTACCTGATCTTCATCCTGGTATAAGAATAGGACGTTCTGTTTGAGTACCGTATAGAATCGGTCCTTGGGCTTAATTCGTTTCGAGTCCTTGGAGCGTTGGTCCATAAAGTTCCTGTAACTGTTTGTGATGAGTCCCATGTATGTACTCTCTGAGTTTTGAGAAGGTTCGTAGGTCTGCCTGACTGTGAGCCAGCCTGCACGATATAGTCTGGGTAGTTCTGAGTCTGGCTCATACTTTGTGTTGTGATCTTGATCCTCCTGAGGGTTGAGAGGTGTTGATTCGGATGATGGCAAGCTCTGGACATTCTGTTTGACTGGTGGTGAGAAGTAGTACAGACCAGCTCCGATGGTGATGATGATGATTGGGATGAAGGTCAGACCACCGAGTAAGTAGACGAACAGAATCAGATAGAACATCGCATTCCCGATGTTTGTGTTGAACGTCGTTTCCTTTTTCGTATCAACCGTCGTTTGACCGTTCTTTGCTTGTTGACTTTGGTTTTCTTGTTGACCGCTTTAGTTCTTCTTGACTGTTCTCTTGACCATCGTTTTCCTCTTGACCGTCGTTTCGGGCCTCGGTGGTGTGCTGTGACTGTGAGTGGTGAACCACCGTGACTTGTCTGGAGTTTCGATCGGTCGGTTCCATTGGGCAGCCGCTGCAGACACTTCAAACTTGAAGGCTCCAGCACGCTATTTTCGAATACTGCTTTCCAAATGTAGTCATCAAGATTCCGTGAAGCACCACGTACTGCCTGATGATAAAAGTCTTCAACTTTCTTGTACTCTCAAATTGCTCCATGT